AAAAAAAAAAAAAAAAAAAAAACCACACAAAAACCCACTAAACTAAGAGTTTCTTCTTAACCTAAAGGTTTAACTTCATGGGGAAATGGATTATGTGTAGAGTAAATTGATTGAAAAATAATCTTCATTATTTAATTTTCTTCAAAGGAAGTGATTGGGATCTTGATAACTATTTGAGGTAGAATATAAAGAGAAAGAGTAGATAAAGTTAATCACTGAAGAACTTCAATCTTAGGATAACAGAACTATAAGTTTTGATTAGTTATATTCATTCTTTCAACAGGAAATACTGACTCGTGCAAATCACTGAATAAAGAGGCTGAGAGCTGGGCATAAAAATATAGAATCTGCTTAGAGAATAATCTATACTTCAACAAATGAGGTTTATGGATATTCGTGGAAAGCCATGTAAGGGAGGGGGGAAGCTCATCACATGCAGTAAATGAGAAGAAGAGAAGGAATCTGGATAAGGGAAGAGACATTTGGTTGGTGGCTAGTTTGGCTAGTAGGCTGACTGCTTTCAATCTCCTGAGGCTTTCCTGGAAGAGGAGTATGGAGGGGACCCTAACCCTTTTCAGGTTCCTCTCTAGTTCCAAAGAAACAGCAAATGGTTAGAAGCTATTTGCTCCCTCTGATGTACACAAGGTTGTTGGGGAGAAGAATTGTCTGTTCCAGAGCAGACTGACAATGTGACTGGAAGAGGTCACAGAAGATACTGGCCCTACCTGCAGGAATTTAATGCAGAAAGTAGGCAACGTAAGTAGTGAATAGAATAGGTTATGGTGCTAGTAGCTGTAGCAACCACTGAGCCTCCTGAGGGTCCTGAGGTTCCTCTCCATTGCCTTCCATGAATCACTGCTTTCCAGCCTAAAAAGAAAAAAGGCTCTGGAGAAGCTAGGATTTCAATCATTGTGATCATGGGCTCTCAGCTAGGAAGAATTGGATTCGTTATCATTGTAGGACTCTTTCTTCCTCAGCCTGGTGGTCAGGAAAATACTTGCTATATTAGTTTATTTCCTAAGAATAAAACATTTCTTTATTTTTCTCACATTCCTGTTTTCTGACTCCCACCCCTACCCAACCACATAGTAAAGTTTGTTATACTATTTTCATGTTGTGTTTCATTGCTTGGCCAGGTTTATTATATTCTTGTAGGGAATGCATTTTCCCTCTGTACAATCAGAAAAGTTTTTGTTTGAATAGCCCAGTAAAAGGAAGAAATGTTAGCCTTTTGTGTTATTAAAGAAAGTAAAAATCAAAGGTCACCCTCCAGAATCAAATGTGAAGAAGGCAGACAAAGAGAGGAAACTTAAAATGTAAGAATTACTTTGGGCTAGGATGTAGCTCAGTGAATGGTAGAGTGCTTGCCTTGCATATGCAAAGCCCTAGTTTTATTTTTTTTTTAAATTAGTTTACAATTCTGTTTTGTTTTTGTGGTTTGGGGGATAGAACACAGGACTTCTTATGCTAGGAAAGCACTCTACTGCTGAGCTACATCCCTCTTCTAGGTGAGGACATGGCCTTAGAATACAACAATATCCATTCATCCATCCATCCATCCATTTATGTAGTAGGGATTGAACGCGGGGCCATCTCATTGAGCTACATTCCCAACTCCGTTTTAAAAATTTTGAGACCAGATCTGTCTAAGTTGCTAAATTGACCATGCTGGCTTCGATTCTGTGTCAGCGTCTCAGAATGCTGGGATTATAGACTGACACAATTGTACCCAGCTAACAATTCCCACTTAGTCAGCTTCTATGAGATTTTTCACGTAGCATCATTTTGTGGAAATGGCTTTAAGGAAAGAAATAACCTAACAGCAAGTTTAAGATGAAATGTTTAAGAATTTAAAAAATATATATTAGCATTAAGGTAAACCCTATTCAAGGCCTGTTGTGTAGTAGCCACTTCTTATGGATAAAAGATGGAAGGGACTTTATTATTCAACTGTCTTCTGAAACGTCTTTTTTAAAAAATCTTTTGGAGGGAGTCTAATCCAAATGATTATAGTGGTAGGAAGCCACTTGTGCTATTAAATTTATTTTACTTGTTCCAGGATAAGATGTAAAAAAGCACAGCTCAGCTATTTATTCCAGAATACTTATTATGAGAAATGATTTTTCTTTTGTTTTTAAAGATTTTACCCATTTGAGTGACATTTGAGAGATGAAATTTGTAGTGATTTTGGGTACAAAGGTAAT